GTCAAAGAAATGGAAAGAATATGCCTATATGCCTTTCCTTGCATATATTTTTAAAACCCTAAAATGTTCTTTCCTTGATTTGTAAGATGATCTTACCCTTCTTCACGAATATTGTTAAGAAAATACTCTCAATTATGATCTTTTTTACCAAAGATCTAGACCATTAAAATGGAACCTCAAAATCAGTCCTGATCTTGAAAATCCAATTGATGTACAAAGGTTTCGATCAATTTAAGCAATGGGAGTAGAATGGTAGATGACACTAAATATATGGTCAACTAATGTGGTATCCTATATCAGTGGAGTGATCTCTCTGTCTTTCAAGTACTGTACCAAATTCGGGTCATGTAACTGATGTATCGAATCAATTGGAAGATTTTAGATCATCAAAGTGGTCTATTAAAATCATTAAATTAATTTCAACCATCCAAGTGCTGTATCAAAATTTCAATCAATTTGGGCAATGCAAAGGATCAAAGATAAGTTCTCCAATCGACCAGGATGCTATATAACATAAATTGAAATAAGAATTACATGTTTGGCCCTGTTTGAGTTATAAATCCGTATTCCAACCGTCCTATTTAAGTTGGAAATTTAAAATACAAATATTTTCTTTAGGCTGCGTTTGGAAAATATGCAAATAAGTGTGAATATAAATATATAGAGTGTAAAATGGTTCATATAAATTGTAAAATTGAGTTAGTTTTGCACTAACAAATTTATCTTCTTACCAAACAAACTTTTAGCTGTAATGGATGCAAACATGAATTCCAATAAAAAGCATATGCTTTTTTTTTTTACTAAAAGCCCACTTGAATGCAAATTTACTTCTTTTTTCTTGATGTACTTTTACATTTTATTATCAATGTAAATATGCATTGATCTGTTATTTGTCAATGCATACATGTAATGTTGCCAAACACAAGCAAAAGTGAACAAGAGTGCAAATTTACCCTGAACCGGGATCTACACTTCATTTGCAAGATTTCCAAATGCAGCCTTAGGCTCAGTTTGGAAAAAAAAAATACAAATATGTACAGTGCTATTGCATGCAAAATAATACAAAATATAAGGTTTTGTACCCTACATATTTGTATTTGTACTCATGCGCCTTAGGCTCAGTTTGGAAAGAGTACAAATACAAATTTGTAGAGTGCAAAACCTTGTATTTTGTATTATTTTGTATATATTTGTACTGTACATATTTGTATTTGTACTCCTTACAAACTGAACCTTAGGCTCCATTTATTTGCGATACAAACGCCAAACTATTTATGTACCCCAGTTCGCATTTGCGATTGCGAGCCTTTGTTTGATACATAAAAAGTAATGATTATCATAGTAAAAATGTGTTTTCTGACACTTTTGTACTATGAAAAGAGAACATTGTTGTACCTATTTTTTTGATACAATTTTGTGTTCTTTTGATAATTAACTTTTTGACCAAAATTAAGGTATTGGAATATAAGATAGTTGGAGCATTTAATGATGGGCCCACATTTTTGCACAGATTTCAACCAAACAAGATGAATGCAAAAACAGTTTAAAATATGAACCGTATTTACATTCATAAACCGAAAATGGATAAATATACAATATACATATTTATATTTACATTGCAATCAAACACAGCCTTAGCAGAAAATAAAAAAGAATGAACGCCCATAAAACAAAACATAAAAATAACTCTCAACACAAATCAAATCCGCATTACGTTAATCAGATTATATTTAAATTTGAATTCAGACAAACAGATGTGACCCTACTTTCACTTACATTAATTAAAAATTTAAAACTAATCAGATAAATTGTTTTTTTAGTGTAACTGATTGACTAAGGCTTTTTTTCCTAACTTTTCTTTCAAACCAAATGCAGTCTATCATTATTGTGGCCATCATCCATCACGTAAGCCTTGTTACAACCATATATGGTCAACTACATAAATCCTGTTTTACTATTCATGCACGAAAAGACAAATGGGCATCATAATTGCAATTGCCCACTAGCAAATCTAGCATGTTTTAGTCTATTTAGACTTCAGACATCAATTGGGCAGAAAAAAATATGCGCTTTAATTTAATTATTCTAACAAGATCTAATCTAACATCAAAGGTATAACTAATAATCAACTGCAATAACATTGTAATTTGGTAAACTACATCATTGTTAAAAATTGAATCTCACTTAACAGGCCAAGAAAAATTGGACAAATATCTGGAACTGAACCCCAGTGCTTTGTTTGGTTACTTGATTGTAGAAAAGCCAGGTGAAGGGGACGAATGGGAAAGAACCAGGTTTTGGAAAAGTTTTTTTTTTTTCCCCTTTTTTTAGGGTAATAGAAAGGATATTGAAAAGATGATAAAAAGAGAGTTTGCCTTGAAAATTTTCTTGGTACCTTTAATTTCTTTTATGGAGTGAACCTGTATAACATGAGATGGTAATGACAAAATAAATTATTAGTTAAAAACTTTAAAAAAAAAAATCATTACTTGGAAAATCTTGGTTTGGCAAGCGTGAGAAACTGCGAATACAAGTCTGAAAATAGCTATTTTGAGTTAAAAAATGCTAAAAATTAGAACCGAAGTTTTAAAAAGCTAAAGGCGGAGGCAAGATATTTGGGTGTGAAAGGGGCGAGTCCTAAGCCTCGAGGCATAAATCTCGGACATAAAAAATAAATAAATAAAAGATATGTACTTAAAAAAACAAATGAAGGAAATATAAGTTTTTTTATTTCTTTTTGTATTTACATCACCCGAACCAACCTGAATTTGACCTGATCTAGGGACCAAGCTAACAATTTTCTTTCTCATTGTTGTTTAAAAGTATGGAGGTTGGTTTATTCTTTATAGTTCCATTGGTTTGTTTTAAGTTACATTTGGCATTTCTTATTTTAATTTTTAAGGACTTATCTTCTTTTTGCAGTTAAAATGTCCTATACTGAGGCCCTGTTTGGTTTGCGGAAATAGAGGTCCAACTGTTTGATTGGGCGGAATTGGAATCCTATTCCCATTCCTGCTGGAATGGAATTCCCCCATTTGAGGGAATGGCCATTTCCTGCCTCTCCTTGGGAATGAGATTCCATTCCTGCTGATTTTAATTCTCATTCGTATTATAAGAATGGACCATTCTGATTCCGATTCTAAAGGATTTCAATTCTGACTACGAATTAAACCGGATTTTAACCTAAAAAAAAGAGATAAATCCTTAAAATAAGGAATGCCAAATGCAGCCTTAAACTTTTAATTTTAACTACATAGTCCATAAAGAAGTTATTTGGGTGAGGCAATTTAAGAATCATAGCCCATATATATATATATATATATATATATATAACTCTCATTAACAATATTCCCAAAACAATGTCCATATTTAAGCCTTATGCGTTGCACATCACAAGACTAAAGGTTTAAAGGTGTAGGCCTCTAACAACTCAAGGCCTAAGCCTTGGCAATGAAGAGAAATGCTATTGAGGCCAGGCCTTTTTGATCAGCCTCGCCTCAATAACCTTTTAAAACCATGATTAGAACCATATGCAATTTATATACAATTTATTGAGTTGGGATCTGCTCGCAACAAAAACTGTCTCAACAGTCTTCCAACATATCTGTGCCTATACATCTCACAAGACTGGGACCAACCATATATGACGGTATGATATGTGTGGATCCAGATATGTTGAAACATGTTGGAACGGATTTTTGTTCGGAGGGGATTCATGTTCCCAAGACCCCATTTAGCTGGGGCCAACCATCAATATATTCTTTTTCCTATTTCTTTTTTTCAGCAGAAAGGGCAAAATTGCCTTTCGGCTCATGTAGGAGTGACTTCCTGTGTACAACTTTGAAAAGAAGGAAAACGCACAAAAACATTTCACCCTAATTAAGAGATTGCCTTGATTAAATATCTTAATTAATAAAGCTCACACAAATATAGTTGAAACTTGCAAATTACCAAAAAAGTATATTCCCCTAATTAAGAAATTGACTTATTTAGGCAAAATAAATAATAAAACCCTATTTATTACAATTTATTGGGTAAATAAATAGATCCTCCTACTTTATTCCACTCAAAAAATATGAGGCACAAGACAGACCTTTTATGCATGGTTTTAAAACCAATGTTGACACGCACTAGTTTGGAAAAATGTATTAAAAACATCTTCCCATGAATAACAACACAAAGTATAAAAGGTGTTCCCAATACATGATGGGATGAGGCTGTGAGGAGTAGATCCAGACTCTTTACATGGTTCTGTTTTTCACTTGGCTTGAGTTTCAAACGAAACAAACATTGAATTGGTAAATAAATTAGATGGTTAAACCGCTAAACCGTTTAACTCAAACAATAATTTCTTGGTCAATTTTATTTTAATTATATTTTATTTTTATAAATATATAAAAAAGTCACAAATTAAGCCATTCAAACCAGACAGTTGAACCATTGACCCAAAAATTTATAGGTTGATTTTAAAAAACCTTACTTTATGAAGGACATGAAACCTTTATATTTTAGCAACACATGAAGCTTTTTCAAAGTTAATAATACGGAGGATCATTATTCATATGAAACCAGGCTAAAAGATGGAGATGACGTATGGTTGGGCCATGACTCATTGACTTGTTCTGAAACTTTTTTCCACATAATTGCCCAAATGCAAGCTTCAAAAGCCCATTCATGTCATCATGTGGGCTCTCAAACTGTCCAACATTCCAACACTTACTTTTGTAGGGAAGTCCCACAGGCCACAGACCACAGTTCTCCAGTTTAAGAGTCTTTTCTTTTGCCTTGATCCATGATTAATTTAGTACATAGAAACAGGAAAATTTTGGTGGGTCCCTTCCTTTATTCCCAAATCTAGTACAATTTTACCATAAAAAAACTTTAATTGTAAGTTTGTAACTCTCATCTCAATATTGAAGTGAAGATGCATGAGATTTAATTTCAATAAATTACAAAGCGTTTACCAAACAGCTAATAAATGTGATACCGAATTTCATGAACAAACCATGTGGTCTGAGAATCTAAAACCTTGTCACTGTTACTTAAATTCTCTTCTCCTCCTCTCTGTCTCTGTCTGTCTCCGTCTCTCGTCTACTCTCCCCATTTTGTGATCAAAACCGAAATGGGTTTTGGAATTCAGAGCTCTTGTTATGCTGTTGTCACCATCTTTATGGTGTTTTCATGTTATTGTATAGCACACACACGACACCATTTGTATAGTAATGACAGGAGGAGTTCAAGGTGGAGAAAGCTGGAGAGAAACTGCGATCTGTCTGAGGGGAGTTGGGTCTTCGATGAATCCTATCCTCTCTACAATTCATCGGCCTGTCCCTTCATTCGGAAGGAATTCGATTGCATCAAATACGGCCGCCCAGATCGTCTCTACCTTCATTATAGATGGCAACCCCATGACTGTAACTTACCAAGGTAAGATCTCTCTCTCTCTCTCTCTTTCTCAGAGAGTCGGATTGGGTGAATATGTTATTGGGTAATGCTGCAGATTCGACGGTGAGGAGTTCTTGAAGAGATTCAAGGGAAAGAAGATCATGTTTATAGGGGATTCAATAAGTCTCAACCATTGGCAGTCACTGGTTTGCATGCTTCACGCCGCTGCGCCTGAGGCTGCCATCCTTCTGGAGACAGAGGACTCCATTACCACATTCACTTTCCAGGTAAGTCTCTGAGCGGAATGGACAAAAAAATGGCAGAGGTCGGTCTTTGTTGATGCTTCTAGTATCAGTAATTCAGTATCCCAATGTGCAATGGCCGGGCCAATTGAATTTCAGCAAAAGCTGTTTGGCTTTGCTGCGTTTTACTTTCTAAAAAGTATTTTCTGAGGATCTCTGTTACTGGACCAATGATATCATGCCAACCCATTGAATGGTTAGTGGGTAAAGAAATCAAATAACCGCTAATACCTGAAAGGCTACCATCACAAGAGCTTTTGAGCTTTGACCCATCAAAACCGTCCGTGAATTTTGTGATAAATACCCCCTCAACTTAAATGAATTGGCATGTAGCATAGGATTCGGAGCCTTCTAAAACAAAATATTCCCGCAGGACCTGCACAAATGCTGATGTGGCAAGTTCATGCAATAGTGGCAAATGTAATGCCTGGTAATGCATAAATCCTAGCGGTTCAATTTGGGTTGGGTTGAGTTAGGCAGGGAATTTGTTAAATATATATATATATATATATATATATATATATATTTAAATATTAAATAAAAATATGTTTTATATAAAATTTTTTATTTTTATAAAACATTTTTTTTCAAATCGAGTTTAAATTTATGAGCTTTTATTTGAACTGAGCTCGAATTCGAGCCTTGTACTACCCTAGTGAACCGAGCTCAAACCTCGTACTATTTGACTCAGCTCGACTCGATTTCATCCCTAATTATAATGGAGATTGGAATCAAATTCCATTACCACCAGGGTTGAAGAATTATGGGTACGGGCATGGGCTGTCAAATTGGGTAACCCAACTCGGAGTCCAGTATCAATGTCATCTAAAAATCCAACTTTTGAGATTAGACATAATGAGTTAGATCTGGTCCAATAATATCTGATTTCAACTGATTATATAATTCATATATAAAATATTTAAATATTTCAAATAAATTATATATACTTTATATAAATAATATATATATTATTATATTCAAAGATTCTTATATTATCATATTGCTTGATTCAATTCAAGCTCAATCCCCTATTTGAAGCGAATGCCGGTCTAGTGGCATTCTAAAATTTTGAGCCCAGGCTCTTTATTGAGACATTAAATTGGGTATGGCACATTGTAAAATGAAAAAGAAAATATTTTTTCTAAGATGTCCTATTCCGATCCTAATAGTTTTATAATAGAAAAAAAATATAACAATTTAAACCCCCAATTGGCAAACATCCTTATCAAGTATATTTAACAAATAAACATTCAACAATTGAATGTTCCTTGTGATGCCAATGACTCTGGCTTGCGTTTCCCTTGTAATACAAGGTTGTTTATATAATCCCAGACTAGAAATTTGCTCAAAAGCTTAGGATTTCCAGACCAGTTCAACGAATTTGTCCTGGGTTTGGTGCATATTCAGATCTGAAAATTGGCCCATTTGGTGCTATGTAATGCTAGTTTAATGGGCTATTGGTCGATATTGTTGTTTAATGGGACTGGGCCTAGAGGACATGACATTAGATTTAGGTGCGACCCAGACCCATTGGACCCTTGGAATTGCCTGGCTGTAGAATTGGAATAATATATTCATACAGTCATATGCCCTAGAAGTTGACAGCAATGCATCTGATGCATTTGCCCAATTTGTGCGGCACATGATCCCATAATAACATAACAATATAAAAAGTCTCAAAAGTTATTATATTTATGCGACATTCTAGATCACTACTTTGTATGCATTGACACAATAGCTTTTATAGGTTGTTTCTGTTTTAATTTCTTTTAATAAAGTCGGTGCACTATATTGGTTAATTGATCTCAATTAAATTTTATCTTTTCTCTTTTTTGAGTAAAGATTCATTAATTTTGTTTATCGGTCATAATCTAGATGTTGACCTGTTAATAAGGTCAAATTGGTTTTAGTCTCTCGGCCTTTTGGTAACGATATTGGAGCTGAATTCAAGAAGGAAATGCTTAGATTTCATTCGGGCAGCTTCTTTAAGCAAAGAAAAATCAAATTGACTTATTTAAAATTGATGGGCTACATTATATGGGGTGATCAGCCATATGAATCTTAATATTGTTTTGTCATTCCTTTTTTAGTGTTTATTGTCATTAAATTATGAGTACTTAAATCATTTTTTGTAACCTTCATTTAAGTTCATTTTGGTCTGCCTCTGGTTCTTTTAGCCCGTTCAACTTGTAATTAGATCTTTTTTCATATTGGGTGCTGTGGTTGGTGTTTTATGCATGTCAATAAATTATCTCAATTTCTCTTATTTCCTCACCTAAAATCTATGATATTGGAAAAACATGGTACTAGAGAGTTTTGACCAATCAAACCACCCCATGAATTGTGATGAACATTATCCGATTGGTCACCTCTTTTATGATACCGCTTGAATTGGATGTAAATTTTTCCGGTAGCATGTCTTTTCCGTATCATAGTTGAACCAACCCATTACAGTAACTCTTAAATTTCCTTTTAATGATTTTATTTCTGACCCTATCTTTTCTACTTTTATCATTCTTCCATTTAAGCATTCACATTTCTTATATCTCTTTGTGTTCACCATTGCAGAAGTATGACGTCTCGGTGATGCTGTTCAATTCTCAGTATCTTGTAGACATAGAGAAGGAGAAAATCGGACGGGTTATGAAACTGGACTCCATGAAGAATGGCGATATATGGAAAGAGATGGACGTTTTGATCTTCAACACCTGGCTCTGGTGGTACCGCAAAGGGATCAAGCAACCGTGCGAGATACTCACTCACCCCCCCCACTCATATTGCTGAAATCAATAGAAACAATAGTGCTGAGGGTTTAGATTTTTTGTTGATGAGGCACTCTAACAAAAGCTAGCCAACGCTTGTTGTGGTGCAGATGGGACTACATCCAACAAGGGAACATCACTTACAGAGACATGGATCGCATGGTTGCCTTCGAGAAAGGGCTCACAACATGGGCCAGATGGGTCGACTCAGATGTTGAACCTTCCAGAACTAAAGTCTTCTTCCAAGGCATTTCTCCATCCCATTACAAGTAACTCCTTTCACTCCAACTGTTTATACTTTCTACTAATAAGGAAAGAATACAAATACAAATATATATATAACAGTGTAAATACATACAAAATCTAATGATTTGCACTCTACATATTTATATTTGTATTCCTTCCAAACTGAGCCTAATGAAATGGTTAGGGAAACAATGGGCTGGTAAACAAGCATAGGGTGGACCAGTCTGGAACTGGTTATTAATCAATTCTATATAACCACTTCTATAAAATAGATCCAGAACCAAACCAATTAAAAATTGGGATAACCATTTTCAGAATGTTACGCTATAAAAACTACCATTTGATTAATGGTTTATTTTTGTCAACTTTCTTTTGTTTTTGTATCTGTGAACTTAGTGGGATGGAATGGAATGAGCCAGGGGAGAGGAATTGCGCCAAGCAGACGCAGCCCATGAAAGGGTCGACTTACCCAGGCGGCTGGCCTCGGGCGATGAATGTGGTGAGCAAGGTTTTGAGTAGTATAACAAAACCCGTTTATTTGCTCAACGTGACAACTCTATCACAGCTGAGGAAGGATGCACACCCGAGCAGCTACAATGGCTTCAAGGGCATGGATTGCACCCATTGGTGTATCGCTGGCCTCCCTGATACTTGGAACCAGCTTTTATATGCAGCTCTCATTCATTAAAACAACATAATTAGAGAATTCATAGCCAATATTGCACAGTTGATTGCTATTTTCCTTAGTCTTCTTTTTTGATAGTTTCACTTATTGAGTTGATTCTTACAGAATTTTCTTGTCATCCAAGCAAGGGAACATGTTTCAATCTGGTATGAATTCATTAGTTAATTCATGGTTATTTCTTTTTCTTCGCCAATTATATCTTGGCATAGATTGGACAATTACTAAAATTAAAGTAGTTAATGTTTAGGATAGAAAAGGATATATAAGACCAGAATGAAAAGAGAAACAAAAGGAAACCTTTCCAACAGTTTCGTTTTTTTTTTTTTTATCTTTTAATTTTTCGCAGGTTTTATGCTGTTACTAAGAATCAATTGAGATCATATTTCCTGCTACTATAGTTGCAGGCAGGGGTGTCAATGTGGGTTGAGCCCCATCCAAATCAAAATCATTTTGGACAGATTGGATGTTGAATTAGACCACTCCAGACTTAATGTTTCAAAGCATTTATTGGATTGGATTGGACATGGTCCATCCGTAATGGAATTACATTATATTGGATCGGATTGAATCAATATCCAATCCATTGATAAAAGTATAGGTGTCAATGAATTAGGTTTGGGTTGAAACCAATCGAAATTAAAACCAACTTGAGCAGATTGGATTGTCCAAATATTTAAATCGACTACTCGAAAATGGTCCATAATCTTTGAATGCACCTGGTCCATCTGTAATGGATTCATATTGGACTGGATCGAGTCCAATTGGACACCCCTAGTTGTAGGACAATCGAGAGACCCCTTCGACTACAGTCTACGGCTGGGTGAGCTAATTAACTCTCCTTGACATTTATTTCTACGAGTGTTTACCCAAACGCTGTCTTGCAAGGTATCAGGTTCAACTTCATTGGATCAAATCTTAACAACTGTAAGACACGGTTCAATCTCTCTGCTCTGGGCTGTGTTTATTTGTTATTTAAAGTAGGGCCCAAGAGCCATGCCGTGACATGCTGGCCCTGGCTACAAGTTACCAGATTTCTCTGGGCCTTAACTGGCTATTGGTCAGCCCAAAGCACCGCCCTACAACTTAATGCAACACGGCAACAGCAAAGCAATGCGGTTTCACAAATACATTTGACTGGGACTGTCTGAAGCTACATTCATTGTTGCTCTGAAAGGAAAGGGCAACTAGGCAAGGCTTTCAGTAACATTGAATGTTAGGCAGTGACAAAAACACACCCCTGGTTCCCTTCATTCATGTCGGTTGGATGAGAGTCAAATTACTCAAATCCTTCTTTTTTTTTTTAACCGGGCTGGACCCAGAATTTCCACTGTAATTGTCAAAGCCCAAATACTGCAATTAGCTTTCAGGATTCATGAATTTAAAACATGGGTATCAAAGCAACCAAACCAAAAATCAGTCTGGGTATGAAAAAAAAGAAATGAATAAAATAAAATATGGTAACAGAAGATGAGACCTTGAAGATCTTCAAATCCTTCTACAAAACCACTATGGCATGGTGGATTTAGCAAAGGAATTTGAAAACAAACAAACAAATCAATTGTACAGAAAAGAAAAGAGAAACTCTTGATTGATGAAATGTGCCTCTGATAATCTCAGTCATACCTCCTACACCTCCAAGCTGAAATTGAGAAAAGTGCTGGTACTTTCCAGCAGATTACCAGACAGCCATTCTCCTCTTTGATCTTATACCCATCACAACCATAGCTCTCCAGAGTCCAGACCTCCTCCTTGCCTGCAGTTGGCAACAGTAGCTCAAGGGCACTACAAAATTATTCCTGCACAAATACGGTTGTGGCAAGTCTAGGCAAAACAAACATTATCTTGGAGTTAGAGGGTGTGTTTGGCTTGGTGGTGTTTTCCCACTTTTGCTTCTAAATAGTTAGCTGCATCAATATTTTGACATAAAGAGGCAAATGAAATGCCTAACTAGTAATGCATAAATCCAAGGGGTTCAACTTGGGTCCGGTTGGGTAAGGAATTTGTTAAATTTTTAATGGGCCTGAACCCTGAGCGAGCGCCACGGCATCCAGATATTCTACCCAAAATACACTACCAACACACTACTCATAAGAAGCAACTGCCAACTGATGGTGGCTCAATTGGGTGTGTCTGTCTTGTAGCAGAGAGTGAGGATCAAAATCCGTTGCCACTAGGTTGGGGGTTATAGGTATGGGGATGGGTTAGAAAACCCGGTCTCAATTCAACGTGATTGAATTCATCAAATTAGATAACCCAACTTGCAGCTAGGGGTGCTAATGGTACCCAAAAAGCCGACTTTGAACTTGAGACTTGACATAATAGAATTGAGATTAGATATGAATTGATTTGATTAGAAATTTAGAATAGATTCTTGTCTTTCTCCCACTTGGAGAATTAGAGTATCTACCCACTATGGCATTATATCCACAAGGTTCTCTTCTCCCTTGTTCCCAAAACACTAGTTCGAATCAGCCTTGGTGAAGACTTATTTCCATCATCTCTCTACTATGGTTTTGAAGAAAAGCATTAGAGAAAAGAAGGTCTGCATAGCTACATCAAACCCATTACTATTCGGGAGCTACAATTTGTGGACTCTGTGTCAAGTATGTTTAGTTTAAATTAGGGTTTCAAATCTGGTTCAGTTATGTGTGAAAGTTCGATCCAGAAAATACAAATTTTCAATTACTGAGAAATCAATTTCCATGTTGGACTGAATTTTTTTATAAATTTGGCAGCAACTATAATAAGTTTGGCCATATGTAAAAAAAAAAAAAAAAAAAAAAAAATCAGCCATGGTGTGTCCCACTTTTCTCTCAAGAGGGGTGAGATGATTGATTGGTTTGATTTGGTGGTTTGTGGGTGGTCTCATGCCACAGTCTCCTCTCACTTTCCCTTTAATTAATCAAAAAGTGTTTAAGACTAGTTATCACTTAATTGGGAAGTTTTCTAATTAGATTAGAACATTGACTAGTTTGACTAATCAAGTATTGGTTAGAATTGAAAACTTACTAGGGATAATTAAATTAGTTAAAAGTTCTAATTTGACTAGAAGAAGACTAGTTTGAGTAATCAAAGTCAAGATTAACTTACTTATAGAAAGAGTTCTAATTTGATTAGAACAAGACTGGTTTGACTAATCAAAAGTTTAGGCCGAATTAGTTAATAATCAATAAAGAGCCATTTCCTAATTTGATTAGGAAGTTAAACGCGCAATTCTTTAGACTGGATCTACTCTTTACACGGTGTCTCACACACGCCTCACATGCATATACTACCATGTATTGGGAACATCTCCCATACTAGTAAATTATTATTCATGGGAGATGTTTCCAATAAACGGTGAATGTGCATGTGAGGCGCCCCTTGTGAGGAACAGATCCCAAACCATTCTTTTAGGAGTCTCAATGGGTTTAAAAACCTAGGGACGTCCAGCTCGAAACACTCTTTGGCTTTGGATTCTAGATACTCTAATTCTCCAAGAAACTCATGAATGAATAGTTGTTCTAATGAAATTAACATGTTGAGAAATTGCTTGAGGTTCATGCCAAGCACAAAAATGAGATGAGTCTATTGAACTGGGCCCACCCAAAACCAGCCAAGGTTGCCAGCCTGATCGGCTGATCCATGCTATCAAAGGCCCAAGGCTGCTCAGTTCACCATGACACACATCGAGTGGTCACCTGATGACATGTCACCAAAATATTCGGGTCCTAACGAACTGAGTACGGACCATTAGACGGTTAGACGCCCTCCAATCGCAGAGCACCACCAGGATCAGCCCTATAGCTCTTCGCAGAGGATTTTCTGCTCTGTTTTTCTTTTCCATCATGAATTGTAACGGCCTTGTCCGAACTACTATAAATTTACATGAGACTACTAATGAAGATCATCGACATTTTCACCTAGAATTTCTCCTTTCCACGGCTTTCTCTTCAGAGACGGTCGTCGTTTCCTGTGAGCGGTGTTCTACACTATAGCTCGGGGAAACGTACGCCTCTCTTCTCGGCAACGAGAAGAGGTCATCAACATCTTGGTATCAGAGCTAGGAGATCCTCTGGAACCCAGGATGAATGAGCTTGAAGAAAGGCTCAATAGCTTGGAGAAGCGGCACGATCAGACGGATGCTCAGTTAGCTGAAATCCTGGAACGACTGAACCATCCTGTCCAGCACCAGGGAAACGGGATGCCGGAGAACAGCCGACACGATGCTTCCACGAGCAACCAGACAAGGGGCGCCGAGGGGTCCAGCCAATCCAGCTATCAGCAGCAGCTTAAACTAAACCTGCCTAAGTTCCAGGGATCCAATCTGGACGGATGGTTGCTACTCATACGTCAGTACCTCCACCTGAACGAGATCCCAGAAGATCAGTGGGTTGCAGTATCGAGCTTGGGGTTCGAAGGCAAGGCGGTGGATTGGTATCGGTGGTTCCTCGACTACCAGCCCAAACCCACCTAGGATTAGTATGTAACAACTCTTGACACCCAATTTAATGGATTACAAGCTACTAACCGTGCAGGAAGATTGTCGAAGCTCACTCAAACAGGGTCAGTCCAGGAGTATCAAGAGAAGTTCCAGCGATTATCGGCTAGGGTGAGAGGGCTCAACGAGGATTATCTAGTAGGTTGCTTTGCAGCAGGGTTGAAACCGGAGATCCGGGTTGGCGTGGAAAAATTTGAATCCACCAATTTGGCACGAGCCATTAGGCTGGCGTTACTTGAGGAAGAGGAACTGTTAGTGAGAAGAACTACCCGTTAGGACCCCCACCTCCGCCCACTAGAAACACCCCAGAAATCAAACGCCTCTCTCCTGCGAAAGCCAGCGAACGCAAGGCGAAGGCGAAGGCCCAGAAGGACTATGCTTTAATTGTGATGAGAAGTATACACTCCAACATCAGTGCAAGGCGAAGGCCCAAAAGTTATTCTGGATAGAAGGGGCCATCGATGATGACGATCCCCTGTTTGAATCTCCTACCGACTTGGGAAACCCAATGGAAGAAGATGACCCCCCTGAGATCTCCCTTCATGCAATTGCAGGTAACAACCCTCTCTCCACTATGAAAATTCGAGGTACATTACGAGAGCATCCGATTATTTTGCTAATAGACTCCCTGTTTCTTCTATAACCAGGTTTTCAGTGATGGTGGCGAACGGAGATCGGGTCTATGGCACTGGGAAGTGTACAGGGATGACTTT